GTAGAGTTTCCACATAACCAAAATATGTACTAAACCGATGTTCATTATATTATAAAACATAATCAGTCTGTTGGTTTTTAACTGTTTAAGGTTAAAGTTTTTTTAAGTTTGCAAAGGACGGTGCAGGTACAAAGACTGTAATATTGCGATTAAGCAGCTTATATTTGCCAAGAACTTAGTATAGCGTTAAAAAATCATAGTTCTGATCGAAAGAAAGCAGTTGTCGAATTGAGGGGAAATCACTAAAGACATGTTGGTGGACTTTCCTGAAACGCATTTTAAGTCAAAGGGAACCTCAGCTTTGAGCGTAAGTACCGCAAACGACTCTTTCAGTTTTAGGCACTCTCGTTGTTTTTATCTTTCTTAGAATTCTCTTAACATGCTATTCCAACGAAATATAATAGGAAGCATTTATTTTCTAGCCTTCTGAGGAGGCAGGGCAAAATACTCTATGAAGCTATTAGTATCTGTGTATTGCGCTTCTGAAGTTTACCAAGATAGGGGGTTCCTAAGATGAAAATTGAATTTAATAAATAGCAGGCAGGCCCTAAATATCCTCTTTATTCTCTCATCAGTAAACGTTTTTTAAGCTGAAGGGGACCTGAGCTTTGAGTGTAAACTTGTGTTTTTGATGATTTGTTTTTTAGTAGCACTCATTGCAAACCCTATTTCTACTTTGTCGTTTACAAGAGTTGGTACAGAACTGTCGTGAGTTTGAAATTTAACTCTTTTTAAGCAGTTAAAAAAATGGACTTTAAGAATTATCCTTCCTAAGATGTTGCAAAATTTCTACTTCTGTTCCGGAATCGCGAAATCACTTAAATTAAAAAAAAATGATTTAACTTAAAAATGGCCGCTTAGTGAAGCGCTTTGTTATTGAAAATGAACTTCTTGAACCACATTGTTTCTGACTGGTTCTCAAATATAACATCAGTGAAGATTTTGTAAAGTTTAATGCGGGAACTTCGCACTTTTACAACCTAAAATCAGTGCATAATAAGAAGAAAATTATAACTTTTGTGATTTCTGGCTATCGTATAGGCTCCAAATTTCATTTATTTTGTGCAACTTTTAACTTCTGAATATAATTTTTCTAGTACCGTCTTTTACTTACGGACTGGGCACGTCTTTTAGATTAGCTGCTCTTTCACTAATGATTTTTACCGTTTTCTGTCCAATTCATTTTGTGTAATGCTCCTAAATCGTAATATTTCGGTTTTCAACGTGGAAAACATTATTGTTACTAAATAACCATTCTCTTTGACAGCTAGTCTGGCTACCCAAGTTTGTAGTTTTTGCGGTCAGGGCATTTCACGAGAACCAATCTTGTTGGGATACTGATGTTCAAGGATGAAAGTAGTAGTTTAGGAAGCAGTAAAAATACAAGTAAATTTTTTTTTGCATATTATACAGTTGTTGGAGGTACGTAGCGTACAATGAGACAACGTTGTTTTGTTTTTCAATGTTATTCATTCGAAAATGATTGATAAGTTTTAAATAAAAGATAGCGTTTAGAACCTATTACAAAATACAAAAGGCAGCAACTGGAAAGACCTTATATACAATCATTTTGTATAAAGATTGCTTACTACTCATATCACCCGAGATGCAAATCCAGTATCAACAACCTTTTTCAACAGCTGTTTCGCAATTACCAAATGCTGAACTTGACTAGTTCCTTCATATATTTGGAATATTTTTGCATCTCGCATCAGTTTTTCCACAGGATATTCACTATTATATCCGTTTCCTAAATTCAGAAGATTGTGCTTAAAGCAATTATTGAAGTAAAGAGTCTGAAATACCGCAGTTGCTGGTGCAATTTTTAATGTACAATGTACTCTGTAGTTTTGCTCAGATTGTATAGAGAACCTCAAGTATTCTTGAATTATTTACCACTGTAGCTTACATCACTTTATTTGCTGACTTTTAAATCACCAAGAATACTTTTGAAAAATCGCAACAGTAGGCTTTGTAACAAGACCAACCTACCAAACCGCTTGAAAATAATACCAAATATTTGTTTAGAACTTACCACCGAATATCTGGACAGCATTTGTAGCTGCAGCGTTTGCAGTATCGGCGGCAAAACATTTGGCCATTGATGAGAAATACGATCCAGATCTACCAGCTCTAAGTTCAAAGGCACTTCGGTAAGTTATTAACCGGGACAATTCCAAATTTATCGCCATATCGGCAAGCATGAATGATATTGCCTAAACCTTATTTTTAAGTTCTGGGAAACTGTTATCAAAACAACTTTGGTAAACTGTATTCGCTGTTCATTTCTTACCTGGAAATTGGCAATATGAGTACCAAAAGCTTTTCTTTCCAGTGAATATCTAGCTGCTTCATCTAAACATCTTGCTGACAAACCAGTAGCCATTGCAGCTACTGCCGGTCTAAAAATATTTTTATTTATTTTCATAAATTTTAATTTTGTTTAAAGCAAAATGTCAAAGAAGAAAAAGTTACCGAGTCCTATCAAATGTCTTCATGGCTATAAGGAAACCTTCACCAGGCTTACCAACGACAGCACTTGCTGGGACTCGGACGTCTTCGAAAGTGATCCCTCGAGTATCAGAAGCTCGTTGCCCCATATTTATTTCCTAACAAAGGAAAGTTATTGACAGGCAGTTGAAGAAAAAACAGAAAAAAAAATCTAATATTCGAAGTATAATTAAGGAAATCACTTTTTTTCCTCTCGTTATACCGGGAGTATCTCCTTCAACAACAAATGCTGTAAAAGCTTTGCTGGCAGGTGTTTTTGGATTTGGATCGCTACGTGTCAGCACGAAAAACCAGTTTGCATGTCCGGCGTTTGTTATCCACATTTTTGAACCATTAATCACGTACTCATCGCCTTTTTTCTCTGACTTTGTTTTTATACCGGCAACATCTGAACCGGCCCCAGGTTCGGAAACAGCGTAGGACTGCAAAATTACTGATAGCTGTTCCACAAAATTGGCCACAATGAAATTGAACAAGTAAGACGTATTTGAAACTTTAAAAGAAAGTCCTAAGCGCGTAAAGAATTATTGTTTTTAAGAATCAGTCGTAGTTCACGAAAGATATAATAAAGATTAAATTTTAAAATATAGCAGTTGCTAGCTTACTGCTACTAATGGTTCTTCAATCATGCGCCCTAGAAACTTCTTCTTTTGTTCTTCAGTACCAGCAATAATCAGAGGTGTTTCCGCAAGACCGTTAGTTAACATTCCTGTCGTTATTCCTGTACAACCGTAAGCAAGCGACTCGGATACAATTGTAGCGGTCAAAGAATCCAGTCCCAGACCGCCTAAAAGTTTGTAACGGTAACAACTGAAGGAACACTTGTTGCCTTCAGCACTCTGTGAAACAGCATTTGGTGAACCAAGACTAATTTTAGACTTAGAATGTAAAAAAAAAAAAACAAGTGGAAGTAATATGCTTTTAAGACTTCTATTTTTAAGCAGTAGTCAAGATTGACTCAGAGGAACATAGCACCAACGTTCCGCTTTCTAGCTAAGAATAGTTACTGACTCTTCCTGTATGTCTTACCATTTTAGTTTAACCCATTATCATTGACTCACCATATTTTTCTGGAATTTCAAAATTCAATAGGCCGTTCTCATGCGCTTTTTTGATTATTGGCCAGGGGTATTCTCCGGTTCTGTCATATTCCCCAGCTTTTGGAATAATCTCATCATGCACAAATTTTCTCGTTGTTTCTCGAAATTCTCTTTGTTGTTCACTTAATTCTAAAACAAGAAAGATTAATGAATGCTTCAGTATTAAAAAATTGACTATTTTTCTCATGGACTGAGGATTAATGCCGCTTTGATTACAACGTAATATAACTCAAGAATTACTCCATTAAAATTCTGTACAAAAAAAAATTTGTTTTGATTGTTTTTAAAAAAGTAAAATTTTTTTCAAAGAATTATTAATTTCTGCAAAAAAATTTACCGAAATGGAAACCGATAGATTCAGATGGTGGTTTAAACGAGGAGTCCGATTCGCTAGCAACAGTCGCACTTAAACTAAATGTGCGTAGAAATCCAATTCCAGATCGAGACAAATTTCGGGATAACATTCGCTTTAAAAAAAGTGTTCAAGAAATAAATACAAATTAATTTAGCCGTTTAAAGTATTTAAAAACGCATTTTAAATCACTGAAACAAGTAGGTAAACTATTAGTCAACAGATCTGAACAAAATAGCGGTTCCAAGGAAGATTGAGTAACGAATAAAAGAATATAGTTTAAAGTTCTCATCATACGGCAAAAAAAAAAACATGTAAAAAATAAAATAAAAGACCTATTTTGTGACCAATCTGAACGCATATTTTTGTTGTACTGACCTTTTTATGAGAGACTCAACGAAGGTTTAACAAATATGGTCAAATCGCAATAAGATAAAAGCACTGTATAATTTACAGTCCAAAAACCTGAAGAAGTTATCTCTAAACCTTCACAATACTAATTTTGTTGATAAAGTTTCCGCCACGTTCAACTCAAACAAAAATGTTACACAATCATAGACCTTTGCAATTTTCACTTTTTGAACTTTGTACTACAGCAAAATCAGTCTCATATTTTTATCAGAATTATGTCTTATGGTCATATAAACATGCACATTTATACAGTAAAATAAAACTGAATAATAGTGGCATAAAGTTATTTCTAAAAAATATTCAAAAGCAGTACAAACATTGATGATTATTATGAACAATATAACCATTGATGCTGCAACAGCGTCCACGTGGGAAACCAATCAGTTCCATGGTTAATCGGTCTATATAATGGCATTTTACAAGAATTTGTACTCAGTGACAAAAAATTCATTCAAAAAATTTACTTTCGCTTTCGGTTTCCTCAACTTGAATGTAAAACTAATTTGAATGCAATTTACTTTCAAGTTCATCGTAATTATCCGCTGTTATCTGGTAAATATGACGGAACAGGATAGGTGGGCAAAAATATATCAGTAAAAAGCGACGCATCTTTACACACCTCTTAGGGTTTTCACATACTTTGAAATTGAGAATATCATTGCAGATACGAATATTTTTATAACAGTTAAACTTACTCCACCATTATTTTTTTTTTCTTTTGAAAGTGGAAAAAAACGTTTTTGTCTTGAAATTTTAAGAATTAATGAAAAACATAACCGTTTGCACTGCAGGCTGCACTTGACAAAAATGCTCTTCTGAAGTACAGCATACGTAATGTACAAAGTACGAAAATACAAAACCTGGAGAAAGAAGCGTAAAAGCGTATGCAAATTAAACTCAAATGTAGTCTTCAGTTTTTTATAGTTAATTACGCAAAACTATTAGTCTGAATCGAGAGGAAAGTTTTAAACTTAGTTTCACAGGCTACTAATCAACACATGTAAATAAAATAGCACTTTCAAAGAAGAATAAGTAACGAATAAAAAATTACAGTTTAAAGTTTTCATCGTACAGCAAAAAAAAAAATGTAAGAAATAAAATGAAAGTTTTATTCTGTGACCGATCTAAACGCATATTTTTGTAGTATTGACCTTTCTATGAAAGACTCAATAAAGGTTCAAACAGCAAATACGGTCATTCGCAATAAGATAAAAGCAATACGCAAGAATATGCAAGAAGCAAAAAATCCGCTTGACGATATCAGTTGTCACATTTAAGCTTAACCTTATTTTTTTTTTACCAAAATATTTTTCAACTTTAGATGCGACTTTGTTCAAGTTCACTGATACGGTCAGACAGTTTTTTTTTTGTAGTGATAGTTTACTTTGAACTTTTAGACATTAAAAAGAGAAAGCCGGTGGTGAAACGATAGAAGTCGGTATCCAAATTTGAAAAAACAGCAGATGATACGACTTGCTATGCCGACTGAGGGGCAAAAAAAGAGTATTCTGCAAAGTCATTCGCAGTCAAGAGAGTTGCCGTACCTCAAAATCGGGTGTTTTCTGCAAACCTGGAACAGCCGAGTAGAGCGAAAAAAAAGAGTAACGATTAGTAATACAACAAGACAAAAAAAACTTTCTTTTTAAGCTTTGTCTTTCAGTGAAATAAAACTGTAGAAAAATGGCTTAAGGTGCAAAATTCATCAACAAAGTACAAAAAATCTTTGAAGTACAAAAAGGTCATAAAAAAAACTTTGCAACGATCGCTCTTGCCGGCACTGTTCCATCAGTTTTTTGGCCACTCAAATATCGATTTTTATTCACCAAAAGTTTGTTCAACACTGAACATTAACTCCAATATGTTCTTATTTGTTCTTCTTTTTTTTTCAAGCAGTTATTTTGAAGAACGTAGACCATCAGTCAAAAAAGAAATCCAACTTGTGAAGTACAACGATCTGAAACTAAATACTTAAACATTTAAGGTTATCAGTCACCAGTAGACTACGTATATTCTGATGAATTTTCTGACCACAACAAATGTAGGCAGATTCAGAGACATCTACATACACTAAAGGTGAAAATAAAAGGTTTAAGAATCATTTCGCTGAAGTCTTTTCGGTTAATATTTTTCTCTATTTTACTAGTTTATGGAAAATTCACTTTAACTTTTTCTAATATTCTTTTCTGGTAAAACCGTTATATAGGTTCAAAAAGTAGTAGAAAAGTGTAATGCGATAATCAGAAGAAGGATCCGTATGTTGATAATAAACAATTTATATATATATATATATATATAAAATAATATAAAAATAAAATATAAAATATAATATACAAAGCATAGTCTATAATATAAAATATATAATATATAATATATAATGGGCCATTCCACGCCAAACCGCACAACTTTGAACCTCAACCTCTCAGATTTTTTTCGTTTTTTGCCAACTTGTAACACTTGTTACCCGATGTCGAAATCGGAAGAGCTCATTTCAAAAAGTGCGCTGGCGGCAAAGATAGACCGTTCTAAAGTGCGAAAAAAAACGCAATTGACCCTTGACATGGTCACCTTTAACAACTTATCTCGCAATTCACAAGGGATTTTTCTCATTTTCACTTTGTTTGAAAGCTTATCTCCTGCAGATTCAGAAAAGCGGTG